CCCGCCTTTTTTAAGCCTTTTGGCCTATAGTACCACAGTGTCTGTTCATCAACACGGATGAAAACATGCGGTTTCGAAAAACTACTTTATTCCTCAATCGGCTAATATAAATTATTGCGGGCAGCTAGCTGTAGTTAGAACCATAATTAGAAGTTGCTTTCCCTAACGGTTCTGACGTAGAAATTAAGTAGGCGATATTTTGTTCGGAACTGAGTTTTGCTGTAAACTCAGATGGTGGCATGCCAAAATGATTATTCAAAAAAAAAGTATATATATATATATATATATATATATAATAGGTAGAATATAATGTGGTCTATTCAGCCTTGGCGTATCACTATAGTATGTATTCCTAGCAAAGGGGCCCATATCACAAGCCGAAAACTTTCCTGCGAGAAGACAAATCGCTTCTTCTGCTAGCAACCACATTGGAGGGTTCCTGGAAGATAAACCGAAAATTATTTGTTCAAAGAAAGGTATAGTTCTGAAGAACTTGACGTATGCGCATTGTGTCCTTAGATTGGTGCCGCGACCTGTTTGTTAAATGGCACATGATAAATGGACGTAAGAAGCGGCACTCCCAGTTCGGTTAATCAGCGGTATAGCGAAGTTACTTCGAGAGCAGATTATACGGAACGGGCGAACGGTGCTTGATTTGCTGTGCCTCTTGAATAAAGCTTATTACTTTCATAGAAGCAAGAGTGTGACGTAGAAGCGGTTTTTCCTTAATGCTGCATTGGTCTGTCTTCGCTAGCCTCAAACGTACATTAGCTATACATATAAAGCTGCTTACCTAAGTTCGTATGCCTCGACAACAAGCTTAGATCAACTAAACACAGACCTCGCATACGTTAACGTCAAGCGCATATTATTTATAAATTATTCCGTCTATACATGATTTTTTTTTTTTTAATTATTCTGTCGCATACCTGTATCAATAACCGAAAGCAGTTACTTTTATGTATAATGAAAACACCACATAACAGTGAGATTCAACGCATTCAATTATTTACTTTCAAAAATGTCTATCTAATGAGACGGGCAATTGACAAATAATAATTAGTGTGTACATAAAGTAGGCCTAATAGCCGATTGTCTATCAAGTTGTAAAGATTTAGAATTAGATGGCAACCGGCCACTACGATATGGTCAGTGTACCATTTAAAGTACAAAGTCAATGATGGTGGGCCTCAATTTCCAGCGCGAAATTGTCGTTGTGAATTGAAATATACAGTATAATGTGAACTGATTATGTTGAGACCTTTTACGAGATTAGATGGATTATTGTATCTATACGTAAGTGTTAAAAGTGCTCACCGAATTAAATAGGGGAACAATATATAGGGACTCGTAATATTAAGACCCGTTTTTTCGATTTGCCAACACAATCCATCTGAAGGCAATACAAAGTCTTTCGTTACTCATCAATATATATATACATATACCGTTTTTAATAGTTGAGGTTAATAACAAGTTCGGTTCGTTCGCCTTGGAATTGCCGATAACGGACTCCAGCTGTGTCCAGAAGAAAGCTGGATGCAACGTATATCGGGTCCTGTGAAAACAATTATCTTCACATTATTATTATTACACATAGATAGTATTTGCTGATTCCACTTGAAACCAAAATGTGTCGTTCGGTTACGCCGATCAAAAGCTCAATGGTTTGTATTAGGCCAGACCCACTCGTACCTTTGGTTTTTTATGGTGCAAGTAGACTACCTGCTTGATCTGGGCCTGGACGACAAGTTTAGCGCATTCATTACACGGGAAATGGGTGGTATACAGAGTCGACCCAGAGATATCATGAGTGTTCTTGTTCATGATGGCGTTCATTTCAGCATGGCACACTGTCAGCATAGATGCACAACAAGCACAAATTCCAAATGAAAGAAGTTTTAGCTTTAGCGTTTATATAATAGACTCTATTGATATGCCTTACGGTCTGTAACAAGTTTATATATCTTATAGTGAATCGACTAAGATAATAGAAAATGTAAGACTTATGAAAAATAAGTGGCTTTTGTTTGGGACTGTTACGTCTTCCTTTCGTTCGTTCGCTAATAATAAAGCACTGTGCCCCGCTGAAAAGCTCAATAAACTTTACAGTAATTTTTCTTCTAATTATTAAATTTTTCCTTTAACTTCGATTCCAAAGATGACGGGTAGAGGGGAGGGGAGGGGCGTCCTTAAAAAAAGTTTCTACGTCAAGCACCGGATGTTCCGCCCGCGATGGGGGCTCTATAACCACGAAATTTACGTTTATTTAACAATTATCCTCTTATAAAGTTTATCAAAACAATCGTCGATGAATTTGAAAAGTCGAGTGGGTTGCATGCTTTAGCTTGAAGACGTTATTTTTAAATATGAAGAGCCATTTTTGAAGCAAACGCCAGATACGTCCTTGTCGTTTACGTCTCGCCTATTCCGGGTAGTTTCGACAGCTTTTTGCCCTTAGTGAGATACGAATAATGAGTGTCCAAAATGTTGTGTTTTGCCGTCTGCTATATATATGCTTTTGGAGTCTGAAAAAAAAGCCGATTTGATCTTGAAAAACAAACTTTTCGTCATCTAGTCACATACGTTAAACAAAGTAGAGAGAGAAAGAACCTTACCTCTCCTAACAACCTAACGAAATTGAATAGATCGTAGCGTACGAATGACCGAGGTATTGATGTCGCAGGCACGAGACCATCTATCTGCTGTAAAAACTTACCAAATCCATACTTGGTTTTCGACAAATCATCGCCTACTTTTCCCCATGGCATAATGTCGTCGTGACATCCTATAGGCATTCCGTTGTAGCCTAAACCAACGATTTTGTGGTCCCGGGTAACGATCGCTGCGCCGACCTAAAACAAATACCAGAAGGTTTGAGTTATATGCTAAAAGAATAAAGAAGATTCTTCTTTGCTACGTGTCTTGTATCTGCAGCCCGTCCCACCCGAATCGATTGCGGCCCCCGAGACACTTTCATATTTACAGACGATTCCTCTATTCACTTGTCGCTGAACTGCACCGTATCAAGAGCGGCAACACTTCATCCTGTACGCTCCTTTTATGCACCTGTTTTTCCGCTCTCCTCGACCCGTTGCTTCTGAAGTTTGTACAACGTTAAGGTCATATCGAGGTCCAGCTTTCACTTCTACAACAGAACTTAAATATTTGCGAAGTGACGATCCGAGCCGGGCAAACAAGCTTCGAACACTAAGCTTGAAAGGTCAATCGGTTTTCTGGGTCGAGTTTTCCCGTATTCGTATGTTGTCTTAGATGCGAATGTGACTCGTAGAGATACGCAATGAAACTGGACGTTATTAAGAAATTTGTTAGCTTTGAATCTATTTAACAAAGCCCCGAGTAACGGTTCTCCCTTCCCACGGGTAGGCATCCCTGCCGTTTGCACCTGACGATCGATCCGTTCAGGCCTGCACGACATCTCCGTTAGGCGAGCGCCTCGCATGGTTATCTCCTACAGCCGGCCCCCAGCAGAAGCAACGAAGAGTCAGAACGGAGAGTAACAGGTGGTTGAATTGGTGCGTTTCACAGCGCCGACTGAACGCAACTCGAATCATTCTTCAATCAAACTGCGTATTTACCGATCTATACGTGTATATCTGCCGATCTTCGATTTCAAAAGGATTGAAACCATGCCAAATGTAGGCGGTGTATGATGAATAAGAATCGAGATCTGATCGCGTTTATAGCTAACCAGACTACTGAAACCATGCACAACTGCCCACCAGAAAACGGTTCGAACTTCTAGCAGATTCTGATAAATCAAAATCATCATGAGACTGAATTTATTGGAAAGTTACCAGGTGACGAAGAAGCTGTCCGCTGCATAGAGATGCACTGGGTCATTTCTATTGCACTATTTTCTGCCTGAAGCACATCATTAATAGATCACACAATATCATACATCAATTGCAGTACATAGTAGCAAATGTTAATAAAATGTTATACCTGAGTGTTTGGATCCTTCGATCGCCGAGCGGATAATGCTGCCAGCGACATAAAATAATCCTCCCATCTTAAATAATCGGATCGAGCCTTTTCCGGAGATCGCGACCTTGCCGAAACTAAATCACCCGTGATACTGAAACAGATACGGCATGATGTTCAAACGGCTTATTTACCTATATGCAGCGATACAAATCTATTATAGAGTTTTCTAACCTAGGAAAAGATAGGCCTCATTTAGGTTCGTGATACACTGTTTGTCAAATTTGTATTTTGCTGTTGAAAATTCTATGTTGTCAAAGAAAAGTACATCAAATATGATCTACAATGAAAAATCTGACCTCGGTTCCGTAGGTCAGATTTTCATTGTCAGACAGACAGACAGACTGCGCCTTCAACGGCGACCACATGTTCCTTAAGAATGAACACGAAAATACCATCTATTATAAAAGGCTTCTCAACTACACCACAATACATGGCGCAGGAAAATATATCTGACTGTTTAGCCATTGATTTTTTTCTCCTTCAATACAGCAGATTTTAACGCCATGTCATTTGCCACACGTGTAACGTTACCAGACGTTACCGTACCTAGGATCTAGACTCTCGTGCGCAATATCACCTACCTTGTTGTTACTGATGGTTTATCGATAGTGAACTTGTGCTACGACAGTTAGAAGACTCTACGTAACGTGACACAGCAGGCTCTAGTTACCATATCTCTTTTATTTTTTATAATGGCCATGCGTGACACGATCGTATGGTTTGACACGTGAGACAAGTTTACATAACCGTAGTGAATAATTTTGAAGATAAATATAACTATAACTAGTAAATCTTTGGCAACATAATAAACCTACATAGCAATCACTCATCGGAGCTTCAATGAAATTTGTGGCGGTCTATGAAATGAAAAACGTAACGGATAAATTATTACGATCGGCTATAGATCTTTAACGCAAACATACAGCGTTTGAAGGTCGTAATACGAATAGACAAAATACTCTTATTGATTTTGTAGACACTTAAGAAAGTATGGCACGATGATATCTTTGCTTACAAGATAGACAGATTTTTATTTCCCTACTACATGTACGGAAAAAAAAAACATTTTATACTAGCTAAAACGGTCGGATCATTTTGTATATATGCTCTGATTGGATTTCCTGTGGCAGGCTTGCAGCTCTTTCGGCTCAGCTTTTCGTGGGCGGGTGAGCCAGTCGCTCCCTTCCTCCACTCGGAGTAACTTCGAATCTATCATCTGATTTACATTGAACCAATCTACTCTGACCATTTACTATTTTTTATGAATATCGCACGAAGAAGAAGCGAATACTGTTTCACACGTTCGCTCACAATGTATTGCAAGCTCTGATTATGCATAGTTCATTGCACATGTAACAACTGGCAGATCATTTTCGACCTTCTAGCACTTATTTTAACCTAAATATTAGAAGAAAGCCAGACTCGAGTTGGCACGCAGTTAAAGTTACTTGTTCGGGATACTCACGACTCAACACTTCGGCCATCTTTGTTGCCAACGTAATCCGGTTTTATCGATTCCATGGAAAACACTCCGTTGAACTTTACAGTCGTTTAAAGACAGCTAAACAACAGTTCCCGGCAACTTCTACGAACAGTTAATACGTCCAGACGTTATTGATATACCATGTGATTTTACCAGCGGCTACTGGAACATATCCAGTTCATCTCTGATATGATATTCAGCTGTTTGTAGGCCGATTTGTATCTTAATCCTACATTTACGACAACTGTGTTTTTACAATTGGCTGAGTAGACCGGAGAGGGAAGTTAGCGGTCGCGTATTGGCGGGCCCTTTCTTATTGTTTATTCTATAGTTTCATTGGCCCCATAGACATCAGCTGTCATTAGTTTGAGCGTGCTTCAACCAGCGCCCTCTGCAGAGAATCGAAAGAAACTGGCTGCCCGCCTCAGATTTTCTGGGGCAACTGTAATATGACGAATGGGGCTCGTAAGTTGATAAACTTGCAGCCGCCCCTTTAACGTGTCGTGCGTGAAATAGGTTATTTTTAGCATTATAATACATTTAATAGTGTAAACTGTATCTGGTATAATATCGATTGGCTCAGAATTTTTCTTCGATATTTATGGCATACTTTTTAAAACATTTAACTCTAAAATTTGACATAGGTATTAGCGTGCGCGTCAGCATCTGTAGTTTTTTTTTTTTTTTTTTTTCTTTAACTACGCTTTATTTCTAACACAACTTTTGCGTGCTGAACGTGTTCATTGTCTATGAGGCTGTGCTATACTATACAAAGCGTATCTTTAAACGGGCCGTTCCACCTCTGAAGCTTACAGGTTATCGCAATAATTAGGCGAAGGGTTAGATCACGTCTGATATCCATATTCACATGGTAATGACTAATTATTACGGTGATATATGCCAATTATAAGGATAAGAGCACATGTCAACGATACCCAGCCGAAACCTAAAAGTTATTTGCCCTCCTATGAATCGTTTTTATGTACATATGGATATGGTGTAACAGGACTCAAACTGTCCAAAGGCTTTCGCTTTACTGTGTATACGTAGTGCGTATGTGTGTATGAGAATGGGGGAGAGGAGGGAGAATAAATATATAGATTAGAAGTATTCATGAAGTTTCGGTTGTGATTTCTTAGTCTAGTCAACCATATTTTGGATGAATTTTAACAAAAGTCTGAAAAGGCGTTGAGTTTTGTGGATCATACAAAACATTAGTCGCAGTTTAGCGGACCAAACACTCACTTAGAAACGCACCAGCCTGAAAGTCATATCATAATTAACGTCTATGGAATATGGTATAGTATTTGTATGAGTAATAGATAATAGACTACTGGCTCAATGGCGGCCCGAGAGAAATGTCAAAAAAAAGCTACGTTTTCAATTTACAGCTCCCACTGTCATATAATCACACGGTAAGCGTGCCTGTGCGTAATTCTGAATGAACTTTCTCGAGGAACTTTGTCTTTTGTTGAACTGACTTGGTGCGGAATTTTCGAAACAACATATTACTCTCATACATATTATACTCATTGGATCTTGATACGGTATTATCAAGAAAATTCGGTCTTACGAAGATTTCTGCAAATGCATCACAAAAATATATAATTATATTTACTCCATTAAAATTGGCTGTGAATAATTTTGATCCATAAGAGAATCTCTATATAGTTTTTTAGCAGATACAGGTACTAAACCTGCTCAATGGCTGTAATTTACTGCAGATTTATCTTCGCTGTTACCTTGCACCATATGCATGTTTAGCTTCAACAGTGCAGCATAATCCTCTATAATCCTTGTTCTATCCTTGCTACTCTCAGCTTTAACAACAGCCCTATGAGGTAACAGGCTGATCATATCAACCGCGCCTATAGTTACTTATCATTTTTGCCTATTTCTTTTTTTCATAAATCCTTAGTTATCTCTGAGCGTCGTTGAGATTTGAACTGGCACTAGCCATTACTGTGATTGTATGCGATTACCAAGCAGCTTGCCGCATCAGACGGCCAGACGATGCCTGTCCTGCCTAAATCACAGCCAGGTTACGATGGTAGCGATTCTGAGCCGTCATGGCGGTCGCTAGAGGGCCCGATTCACACACCAACGAAGAAAATTCTATTGAAAGAAAGTGACTATGGTGCAATTTACGCTGGAATAACGTGTGAAACTGTTGGAATTGTATTTCGAACCGCGCGCATACTGTGAGCACTATAGCGTAGATAAAGGACCTTTCGAAACAATGGTTCCAACGTTGGTTCAGCGTTTCACTGCCACGGGATCCCTAAAAAACGATCAACCCCGAACCGGCCGGCCGCGCTCGGCTAGAACCAAGGCAAATATAGAGCTTGTTAGGACAAACATCGAAGAAGATCGAAAGACTTCGACGAGAGAACGCGCTAGAACATTACAACTGTTTCGGTCGTCGCTGTTGCAACTTTTAACGACGGATTTAAAAACGTTTTACAAACAACGTTCATATACTAATATATGACGTATTTAAGTACTATAGTTAGCAGGATTGGTAATTTGACTTCTAGGCTCGCTCTACATATAATAAGGGTGACCCGTTTCAGGTAGTTTGTCAAGAGTAAACTAACAAAAAAATTATTTTTGTTTCCATACATTCTTCCATTCGCTAATAGAATAATTATCAAAAAAAATTGAATGTTAGTGAGGAGGCTGCACAACATGGTGTTTTTTTTTAAACAAACTTTTTGCGGCACCAATTCCTTCAGCTCTCTGCTATTATTGCTCACCTTGTTTCGTGATCTTTGCGATGCTTGAGGCCTTGTGTGTGACCCTTTGCTTTCATTTTAGATTTTTACGTCAATCATTAGGCTCATTATTAAGCGCATTCAGGCGGACTTAAAGTTACATAACATTTAAACTACGCAGCGCTGGCTGTCAATTACGTCAACTTATTTTTACGAGTTTGATAGTGGAAATCGATTAAGTTTACTACATGACGAATAAGTTCGATAGAAGCACTATTTTTTTGTCTTGAAAACTAACACTCAGTCTTTGTTCCTCGAAGGCTACAATGGTGCGGAAATTTATCGGAGATGAATGAAAACGTTAGATGAAAAAGCCTCAAGCGGAAGCAAATACGTGAATTATGCAAACGCTTCAAGAATGGAGATCGGTGTTTGAAAACCAACAGAAAGGTGACTGTCGCGACCAAGGGAGCTCTTCAACTTCAAATTAAACGACTCTGTTGGCCAAAATTAACATTTTACATTAAACGTGTTGCAGAATTAAAACTCATAAACAGAAAATGTGACAAAGAAGTAAAAAGTTGGGCTTCCGTGAGTCGACCTCAAGCCGGTTGGAAATGCGTATCGTGTATTCTAGATCCAATTTGCAGAACCAAAAAGTCAGCTTGAAGCATACGGTTTTTATAGACGAGGCCTGTTCTAATCTCTACCGATAGCCGGGGACAAATCGGACGAGAAAATGGCGTCGCTCTAAAAATAAGTCAAATTCGGAAGCAGTGTCGAATAAGCTCGAACGTAAATTCACGGTAGTACTTGCAATGGATATCAGGACATATCGCTGAGAATAGGACAATGAATATAGCTAGCTGTCCTAAGTTTCTCATCTTGAATGAATTTTTGGCCCAGCCATCGGGAGCACGCAATCTGGCTATTTAATAATAATAACGACAGACCTCATCGCCATGCCTTTCGCTTCAACCCGCTTATTCCCTCGATTTAGGCCCGTGTCATTGCGGGTCTTTCCAAGTGCTAAAAATGGACAACTGGTGGCAAGCTTATCTCACAATCGATTTACTGCGAAAAACCATAAGATAAAGAAACAGGGAACTGTAAAAGCGCTGAAAGAAGTATTTTGAAAAACAAGAAACAGTATTTTTACCATCAACAGTATTAAAAATTCATCGTTCTAGCCTAACTAGTTAAAAAGTTGTTATTAAGTTTCAAAGATTTGCTTTTACCCGCCGAATAGTTTATATATATATAGACATTTTATTGACTCGTTTATTGTTATAACTTATCTATTTAATAACTTATCTATTTAAATTTGATTATTGGTTGTCATATATATTCTATTTTGTTGAATCGAATGATGTATTTTTCGATACAGGACCCATGATTAATTTGCTGGCTAGCGTAAGTCCCCTCTAAAGAGTTGTGTTGTATAGGTATTGCTTAAAGAGTCCACAATGATCAATTTATTAAAAAAAAAAATAGCGAAAAATATACCTAGATAATCTCTACCAGCTGGCAGGACATGCAAATGTCGAACTCAACAGAAAAGTATCTATAAGTAAAAAAAAATAATGTTTGATCTACTAGACAAAAAGACGATAATTTATTGAAAAAGACACCACTTCTGGATTGCAAGACGAACGATCTTATTCGAATCATTAAAGTCAGAACAGACGCCAAACTTTGCTAGGCCTCTCTTAGCCTATGACGACCCATTAAAATCCATGTGCCCTGTCCGTTTTGCTCTCTTCAACTTGTCATTTTCCTTTTCATCAAAAGTCTCCATCAACAAGGGTATAGTACGTAGAATGTTCGTATTTACTTGCATAACAGGCCACTTATTATATTTACCTGTCAGGATAACTCGGAGTACCGTCTGAGGCACTGACGATAACTTAACCCACTCAGCACTACGGCAGACAGGAGTGAAATCGACAATTAAGGTGGGTCAAGCCACGCTAGGCCTCACCTTCTTCCGCCAGCTTTTTCCCATTAATGTTTCTTGCCGGCCCGTACGGTAAGCTTATTTTTTCGCTGCAATATCCATTCATTTCTATTTAGATCAAGCCGGTCGAACGAGGCTCTATCAATATTCAATGTAGCGGCATGTAGTAAGATCAGGTAAGATCGAGGTATCAATGATTAGAGGCGGTCTATCGTTCTGTTCCAACCAAGTGCCTTCACGCTGATACAGGACATCAAACCCCTCAGCCACACGATTACTGCCGAAGGTAAAACGTAACAAGAAACTTCTATCCCCTTTTTTCCTGCCTGACACAACCAGCACCCTTACGGATACGAATGCCTAAGATGTTCTGAGTTGAGAGCAAGACAAGGCTCCCGACGGTCACAAGATCAACGACCCGTGTAGCACGTCGGTCTAAGGCATCGAATGGGCACGAGAGCAACACTTTGCTTGCCATCACCGTAACGCTATCACTTACTCTAGATACGTGTTACAGCAAAGACGATATTTGACGAAGGAGTATCTGTCCTTTTGAGTCATGTTCTTAGCGCCTGCCTATCTCACATAGTCCTTGCT